AACTAATGAAAGGAAGAGGCAGGAATGAACAGCAATCTTGTCAGCTCACTGACGCTGTAAGAAAATGATGATATCTGGAAAAGAATATTCACAAACAGAATGGCTTATGCTGAATTTCAGTGTGTTTTTAAATATTTAATTTTGTTATCTAGGAGAAACAGGTGAGATTTTAAAGACGTCTCACATGTTAGGGTTTTGTCTTTTGTCTTTTTTAAGGGTAACATCATATTCAAAACATTCTGGAGGTCCTAACCCTCGTCCAATCTCCTAACCTCATTACCACACGTTATGGTGCTTTAACGTTGATGGAGGAACGTTATTTTGCCAGTACGGAGAGAGCGACATCACTGTGGCTATTTTGAGGACTGATCTCCTTCATTTTTCTCCATCAAACCCTTCGTGACCCTGTGCTGTGATTGTGTTTGTGATGTGGGCATGTCTGTCTCTGTCTCTGTCTCTGTCTCTGTCTCGTTCAAGCAATGTGTGCAGCTCGCTGACTGCAAACCATCTCATCTGGTGTTTGGGAGCAACCAAAGTCAGAGCAAAACAGTTGCATCACTTTTGCAGCTATACAATCTTAAAAATAAGGTCCTTTATTGGCATCAGTGGTTCCATCAAGAACCTTTAACATCCATGAAACTTTTTCATCGGACAAAAGGTTCTTTACAGTGGATAACAGTTCTTTAGATTATTCAAATATTATTCACACTTAGAAAAAAATGGTTATTTTAAGAACTGTTCACTGAAAGGTTCTTTGGAGAATTAGGGTTGTGCAATGTCTACCAAATTGGCATCGGATGTGAGTCGGTAATGTCTGTCAGCCATCGGCGATGGATGATGACATAATCTATCGGCCCAACCATATTGGAGAACCCAAAATGGTTCTTCTATGGCATGTGAAAACACCCTTTTGGAACCTTTGTTTTTGAGTGTATTTTAGCTTTTTTCCCGTCGTATTCACTAAAAATATTTATTAAAATAGATGTTTGTGTAGATTTGCAAGCAATTATGGCAGCAGTAATTCATCAATTGATAAAGAAGTAATCGAGAAGAGTGTTGTAGTCAATCGCACATTCGCCATTTCTAAGAGCCAAGGATAGTTTCAAATTTCTGCAGCTGAAGAAGGAGAAGTGTTAAAATAGCTCAGTAGTTCTCCTTTTCCATTCAAGAGTAGAGCATGTTAGGTTTTAGCTTTGTTTGTGGTGGACATTCAAAGTTTGGAGTTAAGGAGAAATAAAAATAGACTCAAATGATTTTTGACAAACAAGATAAGTATGGAATAATAAATAAATGTGAATTGCATGGCATGGACCATTTCAGCTTGGAAGAAATTTATAATGAAATAGTATTCTTTTGATTGCCCAGTCTTATTCACTAACACTATTTATAATAATAGATGTTTGTGTAATTTAACAGTTGATTATGCAATGATGAGGAACAGTGTTGTTGTCAAGCACATATTCAGCATTTTTGGGAACCAATGCTGTGCCATAATTTCTTCAAGGAGGCACTAAGGAAGGCAACTGTCTTGAATTATGGTCTGCAAAGTTCTAGGTTTGGCAAAAGTTTCTCACCTAGTTGTGAAGGTATGTATGGAGACTAAGAATACGGTCTAACTGGTCTAAACAGTCCAAACCTCAAACAAAGAGGCAGTCAGGCGGTCCATTGAAGTGGAGTTAGTCATTCTGCCAAATTAGAGAAAGGACACATCCCAATCTGAAGGTGGTTGCAGTCTCACCATCATCATCATGATCCTTAAATTAACAATTGGCTTCCAGACTTTCTGAGACTAAGAATACGGTCTAACTTGTCTAAACAGTCCAAACCTCAAACAAAGAGGCAGTCAGGCAGTCCATTGAAGTGGAGTTAGTCATTCTGCCAAATTAGAGAAAGGACACAGCCAAAGCCATCCCAATCTGAAGGTGGTTGCAGTCTCACCATCATCATCATGATCCTT